ATCATTAATGTTTCTATCTCTCTCTCCCTCTCCCTTCCTCTCTGAAATCAGTAAAAAAGAAAAGAAAAGAAAAGGTATCAGTGGGTTGGGAGACAAGTTCAATAAAGTTTCAAATGGGGATGGAAAAGAATAATCAATATAGCTGGCAAAGGAGTTCAGATATAGCAAACCAAAATGACTATGTAAAGGAAATTTAATTTAGAGGAAGGTCAACCTAGGCCAAAGGACAGATTAAAATCAATCTTAACAAAGACAACACTGATTAGAAATAAGCAAACAAAAGAAAAACCCCTATCTTGGCCTTTAAGAAATACTTCAAATAAGGATCCTATACTTATCTCTAATTCCTCATTTGCCATTCAGTTTTCAATCATAACCTGGCTTTCTAAAACACTGAAAATATTACCCCTGAGGTTAATAATGACCTTCTGAGTACCAAGTCCAAAGTCGTACTGTCAGTTCTTTTACACTGTTTGGTTGCACTGACAAGGCTGAAGAAACATCAATATGAGAAACATCAATTTGCTGCCTCCTGCATGCCCCCTACTGGGGATCGAGCCAGCAACCCAGGCATGTGACCTGACCAGGACTTAAACTGGTGACTTCTTTGTACATGGGACAACGCTCAATCAACTGAGCCATACCTGCCAGGACTAAAAAGTCTTTTAAAACAAATGATACCATTCTCATTGTGTCTGTTTAAATGTTACAGAATGGACAGGAAATAAATTCAGTCTCTTAAATTTGAGATATCAATTGCTTAAATGCTAAAAGAAATTATTATATATCACTTTAGTGATTTCTTTTCCCCAGAGTGTTTTTATTTATTGATACTTAACTCATGTGAGGCACACAACCCTAGGACAAGGAAAGCAGACCCAGGAGTCAGACAACCCAGATTCAAACCTTAGCTTTACTACTGCCTGGCTGGCAGACTCTGACCACGTTATATAAAACCCCCAAACTTAGGTTTCTTTTTTTTTACCTGAATATATTGGGGGTGACACTGGTTAATAAAATTATATAGGCTTCAGGTATACAATTCTACAGTGCATCATCTGTATATTGCATTGTGTTTACCACCCCAAGTCTCCTTCCCTCATGATTTATCCCCCCTTTCTCATCGTCCACCCCCTAAACTTAAGTTTCCTCATCTGTGAATCAGAGGAAACAAGAATTTGTATCTCACAGGGTTGCTGAAGAATAATGTATGTCAAGTGCTTTAAAAATGTATGGTACAGAGTACACACTTTAAAATGTTAATTATTACAATTATTTCCATTTTGCAGGTGAAAAAACTGAGACTCAGAAGTTACCAGACCTAACCCCTTCCCCAACAATTTTTTTGTTAAAAACGTTTCTTTTTCAGACTAATTTTTTTATTTTGGTTCTATATAGTATTTTTGATGCTGGTTATGAAAACAGTTTGTAACTCGTCTTCCTATAAACCATATTTTTTTTACCATATTTTCTTAGTATACTCGTCGACGAGTGAAAAAGAACATTTTGTGAAAACGAGTATACACGTTTCTGCCGGGGAAGGGGTTAATTAAGAAAGTACATATACGAAGTACAGCAGAGGAAGGTTCCATTTCTTCTTTCCTACAGAGGCGATTTCACCAAAATCTGACAATTGTTTAAAAAATATGAAGACACTCTACCCTGGATTTTGAGAGATCATTACCTTCCTTATCTAAACAATGGCTAATGCCACAACTTACCATATTGAGTAATTCTGGGCCCTTGACAGATATAAAATTTAGTCCAGACTCGTTTGCAACAGCCTAATAAAAGGAAACAAAGAGATACAAATAAGACAAATATACAATAGAATAATAACAATCGTTTATGATAACATGGGGGTTTCTTGTGGCGTATACTCTATTTTCCCACTTTTATAGTTGCCTCTTTCTAATTAGAAGGAGAGGAGACTTATGGGAAAAAGAGGAATGAATAAAAAGAAATGTCAACCTAAAACTTTCTAAGAATCATGAAGACTAGAAATCAGAGGAAAGGGCCACAAAATATTTATGTGAATGTTATACGTGTGTAGCCCTAGCTTGGAATTCTAATGAAAGATCGTCATCTCTGCATCAAGAAATACCCTGCCCAACGAAAGCAATCATTCATTCATTAACCAAAATGTAAAAAAATCAATTTAAGCCTCTACTAAGGGTCAGTATTAATGGACTATTTTTTTAATACTTTTTTTAAAAATTGATTTCAGAGAGAAAAGGAGAGGGAGAGAGAGGTTGAAACATCAATGATGAGAATCACTGATTGGCTGCCTCCCGCTCGCCCCCTATTGGGGATCGAGCCTGCTACCCAGCACAGGACCTTAAAAGGAATTGAACCTGGGACTCTTCAGTCCGTAGGCCGATGCTCTATCCACTGAGCCACACCAGTTAGGGTTTCTTCAGGACTCTTAAATATCACCATCCCTTGCCCTAGCTGGGGTGGCTCAGTGGATAGAGCGCCGCCTGCAGACTGAAGGGTCCTGGGTTCGATTCAGGTCAAGGGCACATGCCTGGGTTGCGGGCTTGATCACCAGTGGGGGGCACGCAGGAGGCAGCAGATCAATGATTCTCTCTCATCACTGATGTTTCTCTCTCTCCCTTCCTCTCTGAAATCAATGAAAACAAAAAAAATATCACTCTCCCTTCCTCTCTGAAATCAATGAAAAAAAAAATCACCATCCCTTGAACACCATACCTACAATAGCCATCTCCCAATTAATCCATCATAACAATCTGTTTATTTCCTTTAGAACTTAGCTGAATCTGTAATTTTGTTTTTGTTTACTGCCTGCCCCTTCCAAACAGACAATAAATTCTATTAGCACAGGTTCACTAGTTTATCCCTAGCACCTGGAACGATTTCTGGCAAACTCAGTAGCTCAATAAACACCTGATGAACCATGAAGGCATGCATGCTCCGCCACCAAAAATTGCTCAACATGAAGATTATCCTCTCTCTCAATCTTTGTCTCTCCTGCTGCCAATTTCGTAAGTCTCCTCTCTCTCAGCTCATTAAGCAAGGGAGAGTCAGGATACACATCTAATGAAGTCTGACTCATTCACATTACGTTTTCAACATCTAAATGCCAGGTGCCTAAGATTTAACCCATCAAAACCCCCAATAGTTCCTGAAATGATCAGAAATCTTCTTTGGCTTCCAAGTGAAATATAGTGGGCATAACTGAATTTTTCATGGGCAGCACCACGAATCTCGCACTCATTGTCAGGCAAGATTAAAAACAAACACTGTAAGGCACCCAGGCAGGGGATGGCTGCCACCTGGTGGGTTCACAGTTTAGCAGGCAGGGCCTTCTTTCTGTCCACGTTTTCCTAAAAGTGTTGTAGAAGGCGCAGACCAAGACTGCGATGTTCTCACCCCCTCCTCTGTTCTCAGACTTGACAGCAATGCCTTGTAAAGGTACTAGAAGCATTAAGAAAGGACATGTAGTTATATACCATACCTTCGCCAGCAGCGTTTTCCCACAGCCAGGAGGACCGGCGAGGAGGACTCCGGCCGGAGTCACCAACCCGAGAGCTTGGAACTGATCTGGGTTACGTACTGGTGCCTGGAAGTAGAACCGCAGTGATCCGTTACAAGAGTCCTTCTTTTTTTTTTTTAAATATATTTTATTGATTTTCCACAGAGAGGAAAGGAGAGAGATAGTTAGAAACATCGATGAGAGAGGAACATCGATCAGCTGCCTCCTGCACATCTCCTACTGGGGACGTGCCCGCAACCCAGGTACATGCCCTTAACCAGAATCGAACCTGGGACCTTTCAGTCCGCAGGCCAATGCTCTATCCACTGCGCCAAACCGGCTTCGGCACAAGCATCCTTTTATACTGCGTGTCACGTGCTCTCCAGAGGCCCACTTTCAGCACTGATCACGAGGCCCGAAGGGACGAACAGTGCCGGGGACCACGTGCCTACCTGCTCCGGCATGAGGTATATGGTGGGAAACAAAAAAGTCCCTCCTCTGAGAAATCCATACTTAAAATGTAAGCTCTGAAAACATTTTGAACATAAAAGTTTCTAAAAAAATTATCCCAATTTCCAGGCTGTAAGAATTATAGGCAATGCCCTCCTTTAAGAAACCAAAAGCAGCAGTGCTCTACGTAGTCAAAAGCCAGAACCACCTGTTGGCTGTAACCTCCGTGCATTTTCTCTCATAAGTTACACATCTCTGCAGAGATCACACTTCACTCATGAACCCCGAAATGATCAGCAGCGTGGAAAAGAGTAAAGAAAAATCCCAAGTTTCATGGGCATTAAACTGCTGTGACCCTCGTGAGCTTGACTAAGTTCAGAAAGTGTTTCTCCGACAATTTGGTCTTGGTTGAAACCTGAACTTTCATTTTTACTTACTCTCACAGAATTCATGCACAGCCAACAGAGTAAGTCTAAAAAAGATCTCAGACAAATGAAAAACCATCATTGGGGGCTTAATGTTACTACCCCAGAACATGTACAACCTAGTACACACGTGCGGTCATGTACCCATCACACGTGCCAGCGGCATCTGGCCACAGACACACCTACCAATATCGCCATGGTGAGCTCCTCTCGAATGTCTTCCAGGGCACCAACATCTGCCCATGTCACGTTGGGGACCGTGACAAAGCCTTCCCTTTTGGCGGAGGGCTGGACTGAGGACAGAGCGACAACGAAGTCATTCAACTCGATGCACAGTCCTTGCAGCTGCTCCTCCGAGAGGGGATCCTGGTTTCTTAGCAACCTCAGCAGACTCTGCAATTCATCCTTAACGGGAGCAATTGGGAGAAGAAAAGGAAAATCACCAAGTTTGTTGAAATATTACTTTTTGTATTTTTAAAAAATTATTTCTGTAATATTTCTGCAAGCTACAGTAAACTTCTAAGCATTTTAATAATCATCTCCACTGACACAAGAAGTTAACTTTATTCTAAATAGGTAATTTAATTTGGGCAAGGAAAGGAACACCAATTATACTCAAATACAGAAGAATGACTTTTGCATCCTATGCGACAGCTAGCTACAGCAAATATAAGCAGCTGGCACAGATTCATTTCAATAACCATGTTATTTCCATTTTTCACTTATAAATATTTAAGAGCAGCTGAATTCTGGTGAAATTAAAACAAAGTTACTCTGATGGCAGTAAAATTTCAGTCTTGAACTTCAAAGGCAGATTTCTTGCCTTGTGAAGAAAATTAAAGGACAAGTATAAAGGGTAACTCTGAATAATTCAATTTATAAAATCCTAACCTATATGCAACATTATAAAAGGGATACATTTATATTTTTAACAGATAAAATTGTGGTTCCAAATGAGTAAGAAAAAAATAATATGAAAAACCAAAGACCTACTAGTAGATCTAAGTTCCTGCTCTGGAAAGTAGAGGGAGTAGGGCCTTAGGCAAGTCACAATCTCTTAACCTTAATTTCTCTGATTATAAAATGAGGAAAGTAATATTTACTTGGCAAAGTTACTATATGGATCAAATTATATAATAAGTAGACACCCCCTGTGCAAACTTTCAAATGCTGTAAAAATGTTATTTTGAGGTTTCATGATTTACAAAACTCAAAATTTTAACAGTGACATAGACTGATCAATGCCCCTCTCACATTCATAGGACTGTCATCCAGAACCACCTGCAGCTAGAGATGAAGTATGGTTGTGTCAGCACTTTCCTAGTCCGCCTAACCAAAAGGTAACCAGGAAGTAGAACTGAGTGCCCAATGCTCTAAGAGGAGTCAGCACACTTCCATGAAGGGCTAGAGCAGGGGTCCTCAAACTTTTTAAACAGGGGGCCAGTTCACTGTCCCTTAGACTGTTGGAGGGCCGGACTATAGTTTTAAAAAAAAACTATGAACAAATTCCTATGCACGCTGCACATATCTTATTTTGAAGTAAAAAAACAAAACGGGAACAAATACAATATGTGGATTTGCATGTGGCCCGCGGGCCGTAGTTTGAGGACCCCTGGGCTAGAGAGCACACGTCTCTGCTGTAGGACTCCTGTGTGGAGTCTGCTGTGAAAGGTGAGAGTGGAAATAGACAACATGTACATAAATGACCACAGCTGTGTTCCAATAACAACGTTCATTTACAAAAACTGAAGGCCCATAGTCTGCCACCCCCTGCTCCAGAATGTCATAATCATTATTGTAAGATGAATTTATTCAGGATAAACAACAACAAAAATCACACCAACCAACCAACTTGTAATTTTGAAATTACAGACATCCTGGGCATAACTTATAATTGTTCTAAAGATAAAATGCCAAGACAACAGAAAATCATAAACCTCAATGATGACGACGCCTGCGGGGAAGGTCACACAAATGCAGAACATCTGAAGGGCAGTGTAGGTACCTGACTAGAAAGCACCCGCGTGGTGTAAGTGGGCTCAGTTCCCATCCTTTCTCCCCGGCCTCCTTCGCGTGGAAAACCTTCCGTCTCAGGCTCTTCCTTCTGTGCGTCCTGCAGCCGCATTAAGACCCGGCCGACGGCACACATGGCTGCCTCCCGGCACAGCGCCATCAGGTCCGCACCAACGAAGCCGGGCGTGAGGTGCGCTAAGTGGCGGAAGTGGAACGTTTCCGGAAGTCTCAGCTTTCTGCACAGCGTTTGAAGTATCCTGTAAAAGAGATGGAGGGAAAATTCAGGTTCCTAACCTACCAGTGAAAACAAGTCACTGAATATATTTATTTGAAATACAGTGTTTCAAAGTATTTCTTTACTAGATTTCTACTCCTCTCTCTTAATCTTTCTCATTCACATTACGTTTTCAACATCTAAATGCCAGGTACCTAAGATTTAACCCATCAAAACCCCTGAGGGCCCCCTGAGTATTTTTAGTCATTCGGTGGACATGTTTTTGCTCTGCTGACATTCAACACCAATGACTAGGAAGGCTGGTCTGTAATAAAACGCAGGTTTCAACTCTCTGGCAGGCATTTCATTCTTTTTCCCAGAACCTCTGCTCTTAGGCAGGTTAGTGCAACAGGTTAAGGTATGGTACTCAGACTGAACCCACATGTGGGCCAGTGAACACTGCTCTATTCCATACTCTAGATACTGCCCTAAGCTGACCAGCCAAAGTAAGAATGCAAGCCACTGTTAATAATGGACAAATGAGTGTACAGGTATGTAAGTCCATTATTACTGCTGAAAGAAGTCTGAAACAATTACCCTACTGATGAGCAAATTATTTTCTTAAAGCATTCATTTAATGTGGGCTTCTTCCCTTTCAAACCAACTTAACTGGAGAGAGAGAGAGAGAGAGAGAGAGAGAGAGAGAGAGAGAGAGAGAAGGGGGGGGCAAACAAGGTGACATGCTTCTTACCCCTTAATTTCAAAGCATTCATTCAGATGACACAGTGGCACACTTGTTCATTCTCTAAGAGCATACCTTTCCCTGGATGCTTCATCGGGGATACCAAGGCAAATTTCCTGGTCGAACCTTCCTGCGCGTCTCAAAGCAGGGTCTAACGAGTCTGGCCGGTTAGTAGCTCCAATGACTAGGACCTGAGCTGTAGCAGCCACATTATTCAGATCTAGTAAGAAGCAGACACAGGGTGAGTGGTGAACAAGACACTTGACAATGAGGACAGTAATGCTTACACAAATCATTTAAGTGGTTAGAGAGAAAGTATTACACATTAAACAGCAATATCTATCTATCTATCTATCTATCTATCTATCTATCTATCTATCTATCTATCTATCTATCATTTACTAAACGCCTGATATGTGAGGAAGATAAATACAAATGGTCCTCAAGCAGCTCACAATCTATTGAGAAACATAAAGACAGGTTTTGTGAAGCATAACAGGTACAAACAAAGCACCACAGCCCTGGCTGGTTTGGCTCAGTGGGGAGAGCATCAGACGGCAGGCTGAGGTCCCAGGTTCGATTCTGATCAAGGGCACGTGCCTGGGGCTGCTGGCTCGATCCCCAGTTGGGGGCGTGCAGGAGGCAGCCGATCCATGATTCTCATCATTGATGTTTCTGTCTCTCTCTCCCTCTCCCTTCCTCTCTGAAATCAATAAAAATATATTTTTAAAAAGGCACCACAGTGACATGACGGCTGAGGAATAATGGAGAGTGGATGGACGAAGGAACATTCCATTCTTGAAGGGCAGGATATGAATAAGCAGCGTTACGGTAATGAAATCCTACATGGGAGGAAAGGTGTGAGGGGAAGCGCAAGGTGAGCAGTCCAACAACAGGGAGTCTGGGCGAGACAGAGGGGTACGTGTCTCCAAATAGACTCATGGCATTAATCTGAGATGGGACACAATACAGTCTTCAGTTGCTCTGGCTTAATCCACAGCTAAATTTTTAGGCACAGACAGAATACAGGGCCTAGTGTGTATTTCCTACGTATTATTTCTCTCAACTGATTTTTACCAATAAAAGCATATCCTTGGGTGAGGATTAAAAAGAAAAAAAAGAATATAATTGCACTGAAATGGTAAGATTCCCAAGACATGTTTAAGATACAAATAGCAAATGACAGAACAATGTGTATGGTGCAATCACAATATTGTAAAAAGCAAAACAATATGTTAGTGTGTTTATACATTTGTGTAAACCCATTAAAAATAACTGCAAGTTACACTCCCAAAACTAAAATATTAATGATGTAATTTTTTTATGGGGGGAAAAAAGATATCTGTTTTTTACTCTGAGTTTTACTCTATTTGAATGTTTTATATCCTCACATATTACTTATACTATTAAAAACAAAGACAATTTATTCTCTCAAAGCGAATTCATCATTTTAAACTGACCATCCATGCAGGTTAGGAGCTGGGCTACAATTCTTCGTTCCATATCTTTTGAAGCAACTTCTCTTTTGGGGGTAATGGCATCAATTTCATCAATAAAAAGAATACAGGGAGCATTTGACTAGAAACAAGAATATCACAAAAGACAATCATAAATATATTTCCTATACTGCAGCATAGTTAACTACACATTTTTAAAAATCTTCACGTTTAAATATCATTCACCAAAACAGTAAACCTAAAGGCAGTTACAGTGCATGACTTATCTGCCTTAAGAGAAGCAAGATGCTTAAAAGAGACTTCATGTAAGAGAACACATTTAAACTCTTCTCATCAACCCATGTTTTGTGATGATAAATTGACCACAATTCTTTTGTAAATTAGGCATATTTGCTATGCTATAACATATAAATTACAAGTTTATAAGCTTTAAATAAAAAAACCTAAGCTTATGTTATATGTGTTCCTGCCGATGTAAAAATATCTAAGCCTTTCCCTAGAATCTGCTATAAGTGGCATTTAAGAAGACTAAAAGCTTTATTTCTCATTTGTTTTTATGTGGTAAAATATCCATAAAATTACTATCGTAACCATTTGAAGGGCACAGTTAATGGCACTGAATATGCTCAAGCCCTGTGCAGCCATCCAACCATCTCCAGAACTTAGCATCATCCCCCACGGAAACTGCGAGCGGCTGACTTTGAAGATGACACTGGATCAGGAAGGGTGGCCAAGCTCCCAGGCATCAGTGTGGAGAATGAGCATTTTAAAAAATATAAACTGGATAAGAGCTAAGGTAGAATAAGTTAGGATGTAATATAAGCACCGACTACCTGGAGTAGTCAAACTGGTAGAGACAGAAGTAGAATGGCGGTTGTCAGGTGCTGGAAGGAGGGGGACATGGGGAGTTAGAGTGTTGAATGGGTAGAGCTTCAGTCTGGAAAGATGAAAACATCTGAAGATGGAGGAGGGTGATGGTTACAGAGCAATATGAATGTACTTCATGCCACAGAAGTGTACACTCCAAAATGTTTAAAATGGTAAGGTAAACATATCTACCCCAATAAAACAGAGACAAATAGATACGGATCAGTTAAAATAAAAACTTAGATAAAAATATATATATAAGCTACAGGACCGCTCACTCTGAGTTACTCAGTGGGTGGGAGTGACACTGATTATGTTGAGTCAGACTTGAGCCTGGCTAAGACTCAAAACCACACAATTTCAAAGGAAAGAGATTTGGCCCCTCACTAGCTGGTTCTCCTCCCAGCCCCTGATGACAGTGTTCGCAGAGAAGCACTTAGACTACTGGACACGTGAGCCAGTTGCATGAGAAGTTCCAGAGACCACAGGTCTCAGGCACCACATGAAAGGTTTTGGAAGAATCCTCTCATTCACTGCTTTCAACAACCCATGAGATGTGAGTAGTACTATTAACCTAGTTTACTAGTAAGGAAGCTCAAGGTTAGAGAAGTTAAATATCTTGTCTGAGATTCCACAATTACTAAGGGGTGGCACAAGTATTGAACCTATGCTTCAGACCTGAAAGTACAGACCATTAACGAGGACACTGTATGGAAGAGAAAACTGGACCCAAATGTCATCTTTCTCAGAAGTTCTTAAGCATACAAATTTAATGACATGAATTCCAACCAGGATAAAGTCCAAGCTGTAATTTCTCCCATGACAAAACTGTATTTTCACAGCTTCAATGATGCAAACACAGAAGAGTTTATGCTGGTATTTCTATGGTTGCTTTTATAATATGATCATTCTGTTAAAATTTTTCACAGTGCTTAAAAGATGTTGGGCAATCCTGTATTGTGAAAAGTGAAAGTAAAATTATCACAAGGATAATCTCTTTTCAACATACACCAATTTATCTTTGGTTTCAGAATCAATAGATTATTTTATCCCATGGTCCGTATCAGTAAATCTACTTTAAATATTTAGCATTCATCATTTCTCAGCCTTTGGCTAAGATCAAGTGTAAATATTCTGCCATCATGAGTAGCAAAAATTATGTTTATCAAAAAAATGGCCAGAGAGCCCTAGATGGTTTGGCTCAGTGGATAGAGCATCAGCCTTCGGACTGAAGGGTCCCAGGTTTGATTCTCGTGGGCACATGCCTGGGTTTCGGACTTGACTCCCAGTGGGGGGCGTGCAGGATGCAGCCATCAATGATTCTCTCTCATCATTGAAGTTTCTCTCTCTCTCTCTCCCCCTCTCCTTTCCTCTCTGAAATCAATAAAAATATATTTTTTAAAAAAAGTGACTAGTGAATGGGTAACAAATCCTGGCACTGGAGAAAACAGGGTTTTCACTGTAACCTATACAATGTGACCACGTGACATTACTCATCAGCTGGCTCACCACAGCTTGTTCAAACAGTTCTCTCAGCTTCTGTTCAGATTCTCCAGATACTCCAGACACAATCTCTGTAGCAGCGACTTTGAGAAGTGGAAGGTCAAGTTCCTGTGCACAGATGTATGAAAGAATGATTAAATTTTTGAATTTTTACTTTCCTACTTTTTCCATAGTCAGTCCCTCTCTCCTAATTACATTTTTAAAATGACAAATTTCCTGCCGAAACCGGTTTGGCTCAGTGGATAGAGCGTCGGCCTGCGGACTGAGGGGTCCCGGGTTCGATTCCGGTCAAGGGCATGTGCCTGGGTTGCGGGCGCTTCCCCAGTGGGGGATGTGCGGGGGGCAGCTGATCGATGTTTCTCTCTCGTCGATGTTTCTGACTCTCTGTCTCTCTCCCTTCCTCTCTGTAAAAAATCAATAAAAATATATTTTAAAAAAAATAAAATAAAATGACAAATTTCCTGAGAAATATCTTTTTGTATTGGTCCGGTAGAAAACTTTAAAATCTATGATTTTATTCAAACACAGTAAGATAACTTGTTTTTACTTTACAGACGTCACTATAAAACTCTGTTATCATCTCCTTTGAATGAAGGGTCTGGAATATCAAGAGAGAGGTTTTCCCCCACTTAGAACTGAACCAAAACATAATACTTTCAACAATAAAGACTTTTTAAAAAATAGCATCTCACAAACAGCAGCATAAAAGAGGTAAAAAAAAATGAGGAATCAGTCCTCTTGAGAATATGCCAAGTCTGGTTCAAGTTAACCAAAGAGTAAAAACAAACAACAAAAATAACAAAAGCCACCAAGTGTCAGCAAACCTCACCCCAGCAATTGCATGTGCGAGTAATGTCTTCCCGCAGCCCGGCGGTCCGTGCAGGAGAACTCCACGGGGGGGTGTGACACCCAGGTGCTGGTACACCTCCGGGTGACGCATGTGGATGAGCATCTTGCAGACTTCCTAGCAGGGAGGAGACGGCAGAGATGTCTTTCCCAGGCCAAGGGAGAAAGAATCAACACGGAATGAAATGTCCTACGCTTTGGAGCAGCAAAATATAGGAGGGAGAGTATATGCTTTGGGTTTAGACCTGACCTTGACTTCCAGCTCTGGTACCGACTGCATGACTTCAGCAATAACATCGCTAAGCTTCCATTTCCTAATGTCTACCTTGCAGGTGTACTGAAAAGTAACTAGCAGGGTAACTGGAATAGAGCAGACACTAAAACATACGCAGGAACCATTATTATTATTACTACTTTTAAATAACAGCACTTACAAAGCGTGTGGCTTATGCACACTACAATTAAAGTGGTGACAAAGTTGAAGCTATTCTGGTGCTTTTATCCCTCAATACCCTGCGGGGTACAAGTTAGGTTTGCTCTTCTCCCCTTCCCAGTCTCCTTTCCTACACCCAGTTCCTATTAGGGACAAAGAAGTGGACTTGAGTTGCATAACTGATTAGCAATACCCACTGGAAGTAAAATTCTGAATCTGAATAACCTTTAGTGTCACATCATTGCCTCCGACATCTTCAAACGCTCTTTAACCTGCCTTTCCTTTTCTTGTTACTCTCCAGAAGAGACGGCTCCTTGGAATCCTGGATGATTAAAGCAAAGAGATTTGGAAAAGATCCATTACTAATTCAAAAGGAGCAAGATTTTGACAAACCAAAAGGCTTGGATCTTGGGAACCACTTAGAGATGCCCTGTCCAAGAGAAATACAACGCGGGCCACATAGGTAAATTTATATATTCTAGAGTCCCATTTAAAAAAGCAAAAAAAGCT